GCTGTTTACTGGCTCCGCGGGAGGGTGTTTCTCGATGAAGATTTGCTCAACAGTTTGACCTTTGACGGTTTCCTAGAGCGAGAGAACTCCCATGGAGTTATCAGTCAATTTAGCATTAGCACTCGATATTTTTCCACAATCAAGTATTTTCCTTTTCAATTCTTTGATCTCACTATGTCCAGCTTCGATGAACTGCTGTGACTGTCCAATTGGTAGCCTACTCAGTGAAGCTTCCCAGTTGTTATATGAAGATCCTCTCAACGCCCTTCGATTGCTAAATTGCTACAATCGAAACGATTAAATTTTTTTGGGGAAACTTGAGTAATTAGTGTCTTTTTTTAACACAAAGCTCGGATCCATTTGATAAAGCATCCAGGAGAGAGGGAGAATCTATGAGTTTCCGTTTGTTTTCTTTTTTATAGTTTCTCCAGAAAATTTTCTTAGACATTTCTGTTTTTTTTTTGTTTTCTTTTCCGCACTTTTTCTCTTCTTTTGTGTCTCAGGTGGCTCTCTCAAGTCGTTAGCTAAGCCTTGTAATGAAAAGCGCATCCAAGAAAAAAGTCGAAAAAAAACTTTTAATGCTATCAGAACCTGGACACGTTCCAGTTGAACCGTACCAACGATTCTCTAGAATGGGCATCTAGCCCAGAGCTGTATCAAGTGGGCTTGATCCCGTAGTCATGATGTCGTAAAAACACCAAGAAGCGTCAAATAACACTATGTAACAGTCCTTCACTCACCTCAAGTTTGAGGTTAAGAAAAACAGGCCCTAAAAATATCAGCTCAAATTTCAGGAACACCATTTCTTGTGCTTTCGTAACTCAATCATTCGGAGCCAATTCTAAGTTCGCTTATGACGTGAAACTTTAGGAAAGGGACAGTCTAAATGCTACTGATAAAATACTTTCCACTCTAGCTGGAAATAAGTATATCCCCATGGCTGAAAATACAAACACCTAAAGCACGCGTTAAAAACCGCGTTGGGACATCAAGTAAATACTATAAGTTTGTATTGAACAGTGTACATTTGATCAATTTCAGATGGATGAAACTCAAACTCGCCTCAACTCAAAACATTTAGATAAAATGCACTCAAAACGTTTAATTCATGCACTCTTGTCAAAACAACAACTGTTTAAATAGTCCCAGACATGATCAAGTAGTTTAAAAATAACAGGAGAAATTTTACATGAAAGTAGCCAGTATAACTCAACTAGTTTATTTCAAGTTGCATAAATGCCTTCTGAACTATTATGTTAGCTCCGTGGGAGGCCTGCTGAGTTAAGTTTCCTTTTGTTTCACTAGATGCATTCTCGTATCCACTCTTTATGTTCTCTGTCAGGAACAAGACAGTCTACTCAAGCTCATTGTTTCGGGCAAATTGCGGATAACAATTTTACTCTTGTCTGATTTTCTGGCGGCTCTCCTGCAATCTTCATTTCGGCTATACTGATTCATGACTTTTTGTTTCAGCTATCGCTAGAAACTGGAAGAATATCATTCGAACTAAAAACAAATCAAACATTTTAAGCCTCATATTTGGAAGAAGCGCGATTAGGAGGGAAAAAATGTTTTCAAAAATTCGAATAACCACCTTGCTCTTCTCAGAAACACAAAAATTGCAATTTCAATCAGTTACAACGTGTCATAGAAAGCAACTGGAGACCAAAGTCCAGACAGTGGTGAGACAGATGAGACATTGATTTTTAATTGAAGCCTCCAGAATCGACACCCGTGCGTGATCAAACTTTTGATCACAATATCAAGTGAAACCGGAGATTTGAGTGGCGAGTTCGGGTCAGATCCGAACCCCCCTGAGCAGAAAAAGAGAAAGTGTAACGACCGAGATAACTCGGTGAAGTGGAATTGGAGGTCCGGTGCCTGGAAACTGTTTTACAACCAATTGATAGCCTTTAACTACTGTGATGCCCTGAAAGGCTTAACTTAATTCCATAATAATTGTTATTTCAGAGCACGAGTAGTTGAGGACGAGCAAAGAGTCATCTCGAATGGATCCATAATATAACTGTCACTAAAACATCAATAATTCTTGCTTTTAGCCCTGTTCTTAGAAGTAATCGCATTTTCTGGGGGTCCGAAACCCGGCTATGTGGTTACATTCATATGTAGTTGAATGCAGTAAAAAAGTGTTTGGCTAATATCCAACATGCTGTAACACAATGGTTAGACAATTAACTGGCTAGGTCGAGACAAAAAAATAGTAAATTATAAAAGGGCCCTTCCGTTTGGGTACGGTCGTGCACAGCTGGATAGGGCCCATACCAGCATTTTATAAATACATCAATAAACAATTTTGCAGGAATTAAGTCAAGTCAGCACTTAATGCATAGTCATTAAATGTAATTACTTCAACCGTCCCTCCTCTACAACAGCAATAATTGAATTGTCTAAGAATTGCGTCTTACGCCGAACTCTGCAACCCCGTATACAAAGGATAGCGCTCCTGAGCAGCGCGAAGCTTATCATGGTTCTTATATAGTTTATGTCTCTGCGTAGCTTCATGCCTTTTTTCACTAAGTTTTTCAGCAATGCGCTGCATTGTCCCAGTAGCTGTTGGTGCGGCACCACCAGTGCAGCCGAAAATGGGCGGGCAGAAGCTGCTCTGTTCGACTTGTAGAACTCTCTGTTGGTGGTATTTTGAGTTTTTTAGTGATTCGTGGTACTTATAGGCGTCTTTCAGTAGTCTTCGTGAGGTTTTTGCGTGCGGGTTGAAGACTTTGACATCAAAGAAGGTTCGGCTAAGCCTTGAGCCCCATAATCCATTTGCTTTTACATCTACTCGAGCGTCTTCATCAATTGTGGTTGAATTGTTGACAAAGCTCTCGCCTTGCAACGACTGAAGTTTCGGCTCGATTTCAACATCAAAGCAAACCTTGCTAATGAGGGTGGCAAAGGTATCTCTGATTTCGTTATGCCTCATGTGGGTGTACAGTGCAGAGCTTGGGTAAGGTCGAAAGATTGACCACATGCACATGTGAGTGGAATGTTGCTTGGTTCCCATCCATATCTGAGATCAATTCAATCCCGGAAGTCGGATTTTTTCAGGTTAATATTATATCTGCTAAGAGACAGTGCATTTAACCAGTTTGAGGCTCCTTTTTCGGAGGCCAGCTCAAGTGCGTAATTTTCATTGTCGCTCAAGTTGTTCAAAATTTTAGTTCTCTTTTGGTTTGTTCTTTCAGTTTTAGTTGTTTTAATTTTTGTATAGATTTTTTCTTGCTCAGATTTAGCTGTTAATAGGTCGTATGTGTCTAGGACTGACGAAGTTTTAATTGATGTTTCAAAAACATTCTCATATTCAAAAGGTTGCTTGATATTTAGACCACCCAATTTCAGTGGCAAAGAAGCGATGTCTCTAAATTGATGTCTGGTATTATCTTTACCAATTAAATTTGGAATGAGTTTTTCCTGCAATATCTTCTTTCTGTGGTATTGGGTGTAGTTCTAGCTAAAAACGTCAATTTTTCTTGTACCCCTTTGGTGTAACAGGAGTACACTTTTTGTGGTGATGTTTTCGCGATCTTGCCAAGTTTTTTCAGTCTTTTCTTATCTCCTTCTAACTGAGTTTCTAAGAAAGTTTTACATTCAGTCTCGGATCCTATGACAAAACCAAGTACTCTGGCCCTTTCTTCATTCAATTTCGCTCTTTTTGTTTTTTCATCTTTTACATTTCGATGCCTTTACATGATTTCCAAAATTTTTTCCGTGTTTGTTAAGGTTGTCAAGAACTCTTCGCAGGCTTTTCAAATTACCGATTGCATTATCATCATCTGCATACCATTTCTGTGTTAGGATGTTATCGTTGACTAGTTTTACTAAAGGTAAAGTGGCTAGCTCGTATATTGCCATTGCTAATGGGTCTCCTTGTGTGGTTCCTTCTCTAGATAGGTTTAATTTTTTATTTACGAAGAGTTTGGATGGATTAGAGTATGAGATCTGTATTGCGGTTAGTATGGATGGGCATATATTTGCAATGTTTTTTTTCAAAGCCATTTTTCGGTTAAGGGAGTTAAATGCGTTTTCTGCGTCAATCAGTAATATTGCATCGGAATCTGTGTTCTCGTAATGCTTCCTAAGCGTATGAATTGCTTATTCGATGCCATTTTTTTTGCCAAGGCATAGTTGAAATTTGATCCGAGTATCATAAGTTCGCTTTTTAAGCTCTTTGTGGTCGTTCTACATATTATTCTGCGGATGACTTCGCCTATGCCAATTGGCCTAACTCCTGGGTCTTTATCAAGTGGAATTAGTGGACAGACATTATATGGTTCAAGAAGCTCATGACTTAGTATTTCTGTCGATATTTTCTGTGCGATTTTGGCTAGTGTCTTTGATATTTCAACTGAATGTTGACCAAAGTGCGTTAGCATGCGTCTCCACTCATATGCATCCAGACCTGAGGGTCCGAGAGTACTATTTGTTGTCATGGCAGCCTTCCTAATTTTCTGGGCGTTTATTTGGTCGAAAGTGGATGAGTGGAAAGGGATTGTATCTTCCGAGCATGATGTTATATAGTTGCTCTTTACTGGCTCCGCGGGAGGGTGTTTCTCGAAGATTTGCTCAACAGTTTGACCTTTGGCGGTTTCCTCCAGTGAGAGAACTCCCATGGAGGTATCAGTCAATTTAGCATTAGCACTCGATATTTTTCCGGTGTTCATTAATTTTTTAAATTACTGTGCTTCAGTTTCTTCTTTCTTTTTCTTATTCTTTACCAAGCGCATTTGCAGCGCTTTTCCCTCGTTAAAAAGTTCGTCCAGTTCGGCCTTATGCCATTGCTTAAGCCTTCGTGCTATAGTTTTGGATTTCGAACCATCGCTCCGATTTGGTTTTACATAGCATGAGGTGAGGGATATCATTGTTGCGTGCATTGCGTATGTGTTTTCTTGTGTTTCAGTTAACGAGTTGAGGGTTCTATTTAGAGTTTCTATAAGGTTAAACCCAATTCTTTTTTTGCGAGGATCATGAAGACTGGTTTCCAGTGCACTACTTGGCTGTAGATTTTTCTTATTTTATCTTTTAGACGAAAATGAATAGAATTAAGGTATCTGACGTGAGCCAGTCGTCAATAGGAACTTTCTATTTTCCGTCACTGTAATTTCAACGCGAATGTTACAAAGTTACTGCTAAGAAGATAAAAGTTTCTTCTTTCTTTGCAATTATCGCGCCCTATTATAAATGTATCTTTTGGTAGTTATCGCCCTCTGTTTCGAATGCCAAGCCAAGCTTCGTCATTCAACTTTGCCGCTTTTACCGTAGTCAGTTGAAGTTTTTTCAGAGTTTCAGATGCCTTTTGCAAAATTTGATCGAAATGCTGATAAACATGTAGCATCTGTTGCTCCCAAAGTTACGCCGAGAAGCACTGGAAATGGATATGTAGGTATATTTTGCTGCTGCTTTTACTCATAAACGATGTTGATTGATTTAATCTTTGGAGCACTTGTAGAATTATAACAAACTATGACGCTATGTGTTTCGTACAGGACTTTGGGTTTCTCTAAACAAGGTTATCATCTAGATACTCTTTCAATCGTAAAACAGATTCGAAATTTTTTTGAAGATATGAATGTTTTGATTGCGTAGACAAAGTTGTCTCGTGTGAGTTGATGAAACGATGTTCAATTCCATTACCGATGATGCAACCAGGTATACTCTTTCACTTAGAGTTAAGGGTTTTTACAGAAGCAATCTATTGTGTTATTCGATTTTTTCTCGATCTCAATTGCACATTTTGAGTTCAATTTCTTTGGCGAGTACTTTGGTAACAAGTGTTTTTTATACGCGGTCTGCATTGCTGCTGGGCCAATGGCTCATAATCGAGAGGTCTGTGGTCCGAATCGCGTAGTCGGTTATTTTTATTTTTCATTTTGAAAGCTAATTTTCCCCTAATTTATGTTCCCGTAATTTGAATCTTGTAGTCAGCTAAATTTAAATATTCAAAACTTTATTTGTTTTTTCTCTTACTGGTCAATTGGTAGTTCCTTACTGGTAATTTAATAAAAATTCGTAAAAGTTTTTTCAATTATTGCACAATATGAGATAAATAGGGCATCAGTTCCTATAATAACAAATAAGGGCTATAAAAACAAAGATTGAAAATATAAATTTCATACCACAAATTTGCTTGAAATTTTTGAAAAGCTACATTCTTTTTTAAATTTCAAGTATTTTGAACAAATTTTTAAAGATTTCTTCGTAAAAGTGTTTTATCTGATTAAAAAAAAACAGTTCTTATTCCGTTTGTTTTCACCACCAATTTTATTATGTGAATTCGCAGCTAAAGGTCTTGCAATCGAGTTGCCTCCATAGACTAGACTAGCCTTCTCAGTGTACACAGATGGTTGAATGCTAGCGATTTTTTTTTGAATTTTGAAGTTCTGTCATTTTAACCAGCCTGCGGGACTTGCTACTAGGTAGGCCAGTCATTTCCCGTAAAAAGGCTCGGTTTGAATTTTTCCGAAAGTTTGTTTTTGAGCTGATGTTTTTGATCAGTATCGAGCTTTCTTTGTGTAATTTCAATCACTATCGCGATCATCCTTCCCAGCAAATCGACCGCAATTTGAAAATTATATAATTATTTACCGAGAAAGATAATTCTCAGTTTCTATCGGTCGTTCTTCAAATTACTTCAATTTCAAAGATCACGAGATTACTATATGATTACAGTAGCCAGCTTGCAAGCGTTAGTGATTGGGTTCGAGCCTTTTTTTCTTAACTAACTCGCACTTAAAATTGATCATTTAAAACGTTCCTCTATATGTGGCTAGTGTTTGTTAGTTATTAAGCGTCCATGCCATGGCTCACTGGTTAGTGTGCGATACTCATGGTATAGATCTGAAAATTTAGATCTGTGGTGATCTAAATTTTCCTGAGGCAAATTGGAAAGCATCAGAAAGCCCAAATGAAGATGAAAACTTGATAATTGAGTTATTTGAAGATGAGCTCTTCAGACAAGCCATTGATTACCTGACTTGCTCTCAGAACATTCTGGATGAAGCTTTCTATCGTAACTGCTTTCTAAATACGGAAAAAGGACAAAAATTTATGATTGCACTGATCACGGAACTTCTCATCTGTCGTTAGAATGCCCGGTTACCGAATGCAAGCCAGTGTTGCAAAATTTCAGAAGCTTCGGAAATGCAGCAGACTGATGGATTAAATGATTACCTACTGAAAAATCCGTTCGAGCCTCTCTGTTATACTGATATCAACAACACGAAGGATGAGCTACTCCAGCATCTCGACAAAGCAATTGAGATTAATGTTCCAAGAAGAACAATGCACAGACAACGTCTTCCTCCTTGGATCTCTAACTTCACATCAAATTTAATGAAGAAACTGAACACACAGAGAATTCTATCCAAAGTAAAGCCGACTAATTATAGAAGACAACAAGTAACGAAACTGGAAAATTTAGATCCATAATCGAAAGAACAAGACAAGGAAATCTACCAGAACAAACTGCTTCACTCCAGAAATACAGATCTATTTTTCAAACGCTCAAAAAGTCTGAAGAATTCTCCCAGTCTACCAAAAATTCTGATTAGGGGTGAATCTCAGTGCACCATTCTCAACAAACAAGTCGACATGCTGAACGAGTTCTCCATTCAGTGTTCACTCCAAAAAATCATTCAGTACAAAAGATTTGGAAACTGAAAATCCAACATTAACAAATTTCAACTCACAAATGACAATTCACCTCATTGTATCCTCGCTAGATATAACTAAGTCTCCTGGTCCAAACGGTATACCACCTGCCTTCTTCCAAAAGACGTCCCGTAATATATGCGAAATCCTTCAGAAACAAATGTCTGCACCTGCCAACTCGCTTGCGATTGCAACAGATGCAGAAATATTGGGACTTAGTTTTAATATTTTACAACTGGGACCATGCGCCCTTCAGCTAGCTGTAAATCCTCAGCAACAACAGTTTCTATCGGTCGTTCCTCAAATTTCTTCATTTTTAAAGATCATCAGATTACTATATGATTACAAGTGATAATTTAAAATGTTCCTCTATATAATTGGCTAGTGTTTGTTACTTATTAAGCGTCCATGGCTTACAAGTAAGTGTGCGAGACTCATAATTTCTAGGTTGCTGGTTCGAATCCGATAAGTAACCGAGGCTTACTAATTCGAGGCTTACTACCACTTTTTTTCATACACTTTATTGAGCTGCTTTTTGTCGGGTTCTCGATACTGTTTGCGAAACGGAGCTTCGCCTCTGTCCAAACCTTTGTTGTTGTTTTTTTAATCCACGAGCTGCGTTTTCATAATGAGTCGGATTTTTATTCAAACAGTTTGAAAACATTGCAAACTGTCGGTTTTTCTACTGATGTGTATTGCTTCTTTTTGTCACTATACTGTCTGTTTGATGTTTACAATTGCGAGCGAAGTATTTTATTACGAATCGACTTTTTTTCAACACAAGTAGCAATTATAAGTGCCGAATAGTGCGAATAGCAGTTTTAACTTTGCGAAAACAAATGTTTTGCATTCTGGAGCTAGACTTCTTTTTCCCGAAATGAACTTGCTTACATTTTTTTCTTTTGCTTCATGACTGAATTTATTAACTTCTAGATTCTTTTCGCACTTGGCATAGAGGTAAAGCCGCATCCTGTGCATCCTAGAGCCCAGGGTTTGAATCCCGGCTGGACATAGTTTTTTAACTGTGTTTGCTCTGGATTTTTTCCCGGTAAAATATGATTTGTCGGACTTTCTTTTATTTGCCTTTTTTGTCGACGTAGTTGCCACATAACGGGTTTCTTTTGCTGTAAGCAAGTATCATGCTAGTTGCAAGTGTGGTTCTTTGTAGTTTCAGGGGTACCTGAATCTTTTTACATTTTTTGAATTTTTTTTTTGATTAACTGGTGTCTGCTCCAAGATGGTTGGCTTTGTTTTCACTCTGTAACTTTTTTGTTGCTAATTTAAAATTGGAATTTGTCGTTTTAGCATGTTTGAAGGAAAAGTTGTGAAAATCTGCTCTGCAGAAGCGGCAACTTCTTCATTTTTTGCTATGAGAAATGTTATGTTCTGGTTAAATTTTCCTTTTCTTAAAAATTTTTACTCCTCATTTATTTTAATAAAGAAACAAATAATGTCGTGGGCAAAGTCCAACTTTTGAAGTTACTCATTTCATAATGCATCAGTAAAAAAAATTCAAAAATATTTAACACGCACTTCAAGCTTTAGCAGCTGTCTTTCATCGCGACACAAATTTTTTGGTTCGCCTAATCTTTTTTTCAACTATTTTTCGTTTTTTCGTCCTAATTTATGGTTGTATCGCAAGTAGTGCGAAGCTCCGCTTCTACTCTGTGTTTCTTTCAATCTGGTTAATTGGCAACAAGTGTCTGACAATTTTCAAGCGATCTTAGAGAAGATGCTAGGACCAGTGATTTCTAATCTCGTTATCATGGTCTCGATTCCAGTACATAGCATAAGTTTGATTTTCCAAGGCTCATTATTTGATTTTTCCATTTTTGACGCCTTAGAGTTACCCTTTGGCGTTTTTTTGCTTGTGCTTGCTGAGTATGTTTTTTTTTCGTAGTTATAATGAACTTAACATTTTTTTTTCTTTTGTTTCTCAAATGGGGTACAAATCCACTTTGCGCTGTTTTTCTTCCGATCACTAAAAGTGAAGACGAACTTTATCTTCGAATTGTTTGACTTTTTTTCTTCCTTCTTTTCCACGCAAAATTGATTTTCTCAAATATTCATCTGATTGAGCTAAGTGTTATATCATATTAAAGACCTTTCAGCCGTGGTTTGAATGATTTTCAATTTTACATCAAGAAAATTAGTTTTCGAAGCTTAATTTTGCACTACTTGAGGAAACTTTAAAAATGATTTTTTTTATGTTGGTTTTTTTTTTGCGAGAGCAAATGCTTTCTTGTCCGGGTTAACAGCTTTTCTTAGAAATCTGTTAGCAGTTCAATTTGCTTTAATGTTGGACATTAACATTTTCAAGGCATCTTCCCATTTAATTTAGAGGCAACCCCCCGGTTGCGTTTGCACCCAAAGGTATCTTATTTTGTCGTTTGAAGGACAGAAATTGATTATTTGTTTTTACACTAGGGATTTGTTTAATGTATTATTGCGAACCTTCTGTTTTGAACCTAACTCGCAATTAAAATTTTTTCTTTAAAAGTGTTCTTTTTTTGAAAATTTCACTGTAGCATTGGAAATTGCATAGCATCTGTTCTCTGCTTTACTTGTGGCTTGTGTTTGGTGCTTATTTAGCGTCCGTGGCTTTATGTGTTAGTTTTTTAATCTCCAGGTGGCAGGTTTGAATCCCAGCCATAGCCGTTTTTTTTTTACTTATTCGAGTCTTGTTTCTAATTTTTCCCATTGTAATAGCTGCTTTTTGTGTGTTCTCGCTAGTGTTTGCGAAACGCAGCTTCGCCTCGTTTTAAACCATTGTTGTTTTTTTATCCACGAGTTGCGCTTTCACAATGAGTGGGATTTTTATTCAAACAGTTTGAAAACATTGCAAATTGTCGGTTTTTCTACTGATGTTTATTGCTTCTTTTTGTCACTATACTGTCTGTTTGATGTTTACAATTGCGAGCGAAGTATTTTATTACGAATCGACTTTTTTTCAACACAAGTTGCAATTATAAGTGCCGAATAGTGCGAATAGCATTTTTAACTTTGCGAAAACAAATGTTTTGCATTCTGGAGCTAGACTTCTTTTTCCCGAAATGAACTTGCTTACATTTTTTTTGCTTTCTGAATTTATTAACTTCTAGATTCTTTTCGCACTTGGCATAGAGGTAAAGCCGCATCCTGTGCATCCTAGAGCCCAGGGTTTGAATCCCGACTGGACATAGTTTTTTAACTGTGTTTGCTCTGAATTTTTTCACGGTAAAATATGATTTGTCGGACTTTCTTTTATTTGCCTTTTTTGTCGACGTAGTTGTCACATAACGGGTTTCATTTGCTGTAAGCAAGTATCATGGTAGTTGCAAGTGTGGTTCTTTGTAGTTTCAGGGGTACCTGAATCTTTTTACATTTTTTGAACTTTTTTTGATTAACTGGTGTCTGCTCCAAGATTGTTGGCTTTGTTTTCACTCTGTAAGTTTTTTGTTGCTAATTTAAAATTGGAATTTCTCGTTTGGCATGTTTGAAGAAACAGTTTTGAGAAACAGTCGGTAACTTTTTCATTTTTTGCTATGAGAAATGTTATGTTCTGGGTAAAATTTACTTTTCTTAAAAGTTTTTTTACTCCTCACTTATTTTAGTAGAGAAACAAATAATGTCGTGGGCAAAGTCCAACTTTTGAAATTACTAATTTCGTATTGCATCAGTAAAAAATTCAAAAATATTATACACGCACTTCAAGCTTAAGCAGCTGTCTTTTATCGCGACATATAATTTTTTGGTTCGCCTAATCTTTTTTTCAACTTTTTTTTCGTCTTAGTTTTTGGTTGTATCGCAAGTAGTGCGAAGCTACTCCGTGTATCTTTGAATCTGGTTATTGAGCAGCAAGTGTTTGACAACTTTCAAGCGACCGTAGAGCAGTTGCTAGGACCAATGTTTTCTAATCTCGTTATCATGGTCTGGATTCCAGTACATAGCATAAGTTTGATTTTCCAAGGCTCATTATTTGATTTCTCTATTTTTGACGCCTTAGAGTTACCCTTTGCCGTTTTCTCGCTTGTGCTTGCTGAATATGTTTTTTTATAGTCATAATGAACTTAACATTTTTTATTTCTTTTCTCAAATTGGATACATCCACTTTGCGCCGTTTTCTTCGTTCACTAAAAGTGAAGACGAACTTCATTTTCGAGTTGTTTTAGTTTTTTTCTTCCGTTTTTTCCACGCAAGATTGATTTGCTCAAACATTCATCTGGTTGAGCTAATTGTTATATCATATTAAAGACCTTTCAGCCGTGGTTTGAACGATTTTCAATTTTACATCAAGAAAAATAGTTTTCGAAGCTTAATTTTGCACTCCTTGAGGAAACCTTAAAAATGATTTTTTATGTTGGTTTTCTTATCGCGAACCTGATTTCTTGTCCCGGTTAACAGATTTTCTTAAAAATCTGTTAGAAGATCAATTTGCTTTAATGTTGGACATTAACATTTTCAAGGCATCTTCCCATTTAATTTAGAGGCAACCCCCCGGTTGCGTTTGCACCCAAAGGTATCTTACTTTGTCGTTTGAAGGACAGAAATTGATTATTTGTTTTTACACTAGGGATTAGTTTAATGTATTATTACGAACCTTCTGTTTTAAACCTAACTCACAATTAAAATTTTTTCTTTAAAAGTGTTCACTTTTTTGAAAATTTCACTGTAGCATTGGAAATTGCATAGCATCTGTTCTCTGCTTTACTTGTGGCTTGTGTTTGGTGCTTATTTAGCGTCCGTGGCTTTGTGTGTTAGACTCTTAATCTCTAGGTGGCAGGTTGAATCTCAGCCATAGCCGTTTTTTTTTTACTTATTCGAGTCTTGTTTCTAATTTTTCTTATTGTAATAGCTGCTTTTTGTCGTGTTCTCGCTAGTATTTGAGAAGCAAAGCTTCGCGTCTGTGTAAATATGTAAAAACTTCAGCTTAGTGCAATTTAATGCTGTTGGTTGTGTGTTTTTCGACTGTTTTTTTTTAATTGATTTTTAAAAAATCTTACCATGTTTTTTCAACTTAATTAGTTGTTACCGTCTCATTTTCTCTTCGCTATTATTCAACGCTACATTTTTGCCCTGTATGTAGTGATTCGAAGCTCCGTTTAGCTTCTGCGTTTTTTTTTGAGACAACTAGTTGATTATGCCTGATTTATCATTGTTCTAAGTCTTAGTATATTGCTTCTCAGCACACGACGCACAAAACCGACACAAGTTTGCTCAAAACAAGAATAAAAATAGCTTTTCTAGAGAATGTTATTGGAAATTTTTGTACTATTTACAAAGCAATTGGCCAATTGCTTACAGTTTGTTTTTTCTTATAAACTATTAAGAGTAATGAACGTAGTGAAGACTTATATAGGTCTTGCTGATTTTTTTTGAGGAAAAGTTTTAGAAGTCTCTAATAACTATAGATGTGCATTCATACATTTTGATGCATTAATGAATGCACTCAGGTATAGATTCACTTTTTGAGTTCAATTGAAATTCATCTGCTGAAAGTGACGTAAATAGCACTCTCCCAATACGAACGTGGAAATGGCGCAAAAAAACTTGAACGATTTCTAGTTTCGAAAGTGGAATTTAATTTTTAGATTCTTAGCGGAATATAAGTTTTACCTATTGATCCAGTTTTCTCAATTTGGGTTAATATTTTCAAAAAATCGACAATCATAAATTGTTCTAGAAATTCAAAGAGCTTCAAGGGCATCCATTTTTTTCTTTGAAATTCGAAATTGTTTTTTTTGTTTACTTGCGTTCATTACTCTGTTCCAATCTTCGATTTGCTATTGTTAATTAATTGCCTATTAAAACGTTCAATTCCTGTCCCAATCATCATCGTCAGATTTTTTCAAAATTCTAAAGGTGCATTTTTTTTACTTCGAGAGTTTGAGAAAACTACTTACCATTCGTGTTTGCTAGAAATTACTTATCAAACAATTTGTAGTTCACATTGGATTTTACTATGTGTTGTTAATGATGTTCTATCATAGTATATTGCACTGAATTTTATCAGATGCACTTTTGTGCGGCGGCGTCCCACCTGGGTCGTTTCTGGTCTCGGAGGACAGTGCTGGACGAGGTCCTTCAGATGTATTTGCGAAGTGTTTTCTCTCATATGGTTTCAACAGCAGCGACCATTTGGTAGTAAGCGGGGATGTACCAAACTGGGAACTTCCAAGTTGTAAAACAAAACAACCAGAGATTGATGACTTACCGAAACAATCAAGTGCAGCGGACACTGAGTTTCACATTGCGTGGAGATATTCCAGAAAAGCGAATGCAACAAGTACAGAAGCTAGAATCGCATACGATTTCGACAAATTGTTTAAATTAGCGGAACAAAAGGTTTGAATATTCCTTATATACATTTTTAGTTTCTGTGAGCTAATTTGACAATGTCCTTCACTTAGATCATTTTTTCTCCGGGAAAATGCCTTGAGCGTTTGTTATAGCTCAGTTTTTGTTTGACTTTGTTGGTCTGACTTTTGATTTATCTAGAAGCTCAGTTTTCAGTTCCATAGTATTAATTTCAACAGGACGAATTTCAAAAATTACCCCGAGTTACAATTCGATCAGATGCTGCAGACTTCTTATAGTATCAAATTGCATCGACTTGAGATGATTGATGCATTTATCTCATTGTATTAAACTGCTGCTTGCATTTGAAATATACCCAACATTCGTGGCTGAGTGTTTAAGTCTTGTGACTGAATCTGGAGCTCCTCGCGTAAAGTGTGGTTGTTGCTTGAGCCATCCCTGGCTAATTTTCACTTGTGAGAGCAAGTTTAATCGTAATGGGGAACTAGAGTTTTGCCATAATATAATTTATTCTGAAAAGGCAGATTAAGCTATTAATCGGCGCGAAAAAAAACACGTGAATGACTTTAAAGTTCGAAAGTGGGTTTTGTTTTTTAGATTTCCAGCGGAATTAAAAATTACCGTTCTCCGCAATTTTGTCCAATGTTTTTACTCAGTTTTCTCTACTTTTAGAAAAAATCATTTCATTAAATATTATTCAAATTCCAATACCTTTAAGGTGGTATATTTTCAGAAAAGTCAATCAGTTTTTAGTTTTTATTGAAACTTTCTTTTGGCTTTGTCCATTTTTTTTACTCTTTTCTATCCGCGATCAAATTTTTTGTGTTGAATCGCAAGTGTTTCTATGAGCATGAGTTTTTGACAGTAAGCCTTTTATTCATGACATGAATTGTCTCACATGAATTAAAGAAAAATGCGGTAAAATCTTTTAATAATAGCATGATTTGTTCCGAACTAATGAGTAATAAATTTGACTTCAACAAAGTGACATTCAAGATATGTTCATCAAATTGTCTTGAATATTTGGCGACCAAAATTGAAAAAGATATCGAAGTCTACAGTAAGTCAACAGGGACAACTCAGCCCCCCTCAACTTCAAGGCGCAGCCCAGGACCCAACCAGCGGTTCTACCTCAAGTGCCATAGTCAGAGCCCAAGTGCCAATCTACCTCAAGTGCCATAGTCAGAGCCCAAGTGCCGGTCTACCAAGTGCCATAGTCAGAGCCCAAGTGCCGGTCTACCAAGTACCATAGTCAGAGCCCAAGTGCCGGTCTACCAAAAGTGCCATAGTCAGAGCCCAAGTGCCGGTCTACCTCAAGTGCCAAGTCAGGCTAGATCCATTTCAAAAACATTTTTTTTCACATCCATTTTGTGCTTATGCTTGAAAACTATAGTCAATCTACAAAACTTCTAGACCAAAAACTGAAAAAAACAGGCCTGAATAAAATTTTCAGTAAATCTCCCCCTCAATCATAAATCATTGTGCTTGTACTTGTCAGCCAAAACCCACACTGTGCTAGATTTTTTAATTGTGCTAAGCTTTCGTACAGTTTTTTTTTACGAAATCTACAACCTCCAATGTGAAATCTTAGTGCTGAATTGGTCAATTTGATTTTAATCCTCGGGGTACTAAGGTAGTACCTAAACACAAAAAAAAAACAAGGTTCCCACTTATACAAAAAAATACTGATAGCCAAAACCCGATAGCCAAAACTTTCTAGCCCAAAACTAGCTGCTGCGAATTTTCAAAAGCCTATTTTTCCGAAACGTTTTCTTTAAACCCATATTTAAAAAAGGTTTTACTAGCCACATCTACAAAAGTTTTACAAAAATTTTGAAAGTCTCAAAAATTTTTTAACTCATTTGAACTCTTAAAAAAAAAAAAGAAGAAACTTTCACCGCTTAGTCCTTAACCATAATTAAAAAGCTCATAACTGCGTGAGCTGTAGCTCACTTTGTTTAATTAACCACCGGGTTAACCCTCTGGCTGGTTGACTTAAACAAAAAATTAAACGTAACTTATAGTAAAAACCTTGAAAGCTCAGAATAAAAGCTTCATTACCGGAACTACTTTGCGATCGCTGCCATCAGAGCTCGTAAACTTTTAATACATATTTTCTACTCTTTGTACTACTTTCTTGAATGGCTCCAACAAAGCCGACCTTACAACAGCTACTCAATCAATGGAGACGCCGCTACAGTACTTTCGAGGAGCTTGAGGAAGAAGTAACGAGGCAAATAGCCAACTCAAGCGAAATCGAGTACGTTAAACTCAGTTTTGAGGAGATAACCACTTGTTTTGATCTGCTTGATACGCTCGCAGACGACTTAGCCGCGTTTTCTACTCAGGAAGCACAAGACTGCCTCAACACTGCTTCAACGCTACGAAAACGAAAGTGCGACCTACTAATCAATGTTAGAAAATACGAAAAGGTCTTAACAAACGATGGTTCAGTTTCCACAAGGTCTAACAGCCCACTTAGAGTGCAAGGCACATCTGCAACAGCTAGTGTACCAGTAAGAAGCTCAAATACTACTGAAAACTTGGCCAACAACTTCATCAGTACTACGGCTGCCGACTTCTCAACTTACACATCCACCTACGGCTTGAGTACATTCGATTTAGACGCTCCCCAACGCTACAGTTTCCCACCTCTACCGGGAAACAACAGAGCTATGGATCAGACAGTCAACGGTGTCATCACTACTTCTACAACTGATTTCAGATCAGTCTCACCGTCTGCAAACCCGCGTACTTTCAACTTTCGAGCTCCACTACGATACAACTTCTCGCCTCCACCAGTTTCCAATGAAAATTACATTTGGAACGACAACTCAAGACTTGAAGCCCAGATGTCAACTGGCAATAATCGATATGGTCTGCTAACAACTTCAATTGCAAATAGTCCTGCTACTACATCCGAACAGTTCGTTACCAACCACTTTAACGACCATCATAGGACTATCCTACAATCACACGAACAACAACGCAACAGCCTTTTCGATAATGAACAAAGACAAATCACCAACCACACTACCAGTCATCCGACCACTGCCATCAACTACAGTTTGAAAGGATTCAAATTGCCAGATATAAAACTACAAAAGTTTGACGGCAACCCACTGGAGTGGAACAACTGGTTCGAACTCTTCCAGACTGCGATTGGCAACAACCCACGCCTAAGCCCGGTTGAAAAAATAACTTACTTGCAGTCATTATGCACTGATAATGCTAAATCTTTAATAGAGAGCTACGGAACCAATTCTTCTCAGTATGAACAGGCAATACTTGAATTAGTGCGTAGATACGGTAACCCAAAATATGTGGTGTCAGCGTTCATCAGGGAACTTGAAAAGTTTGACAAATTGATACTAAGCGAACCACAGGGTTTCATAAGATACGCTGCTTTCCTACGGAAACTAATCCACAACTTCGAACTCAACGGCTACACCGCTGATCTAAATTCTAGTAACCTGACTCGACTTGCTCGATCAAAACTCCCAGTAACTCTACTAATGAAGTGGGAAGAACACTGCGTGCTGCACGATCTCGATTATGCTACACTCAAAGACTTGACGCAGTACCTCAATAACTACTCGCGAGCATGCGAGAACCTGGACATAGACCCGTCGACTCCAAACCAAGCGGGACGAAATCGCCAACCTATGAAGCAACAACAACCCGACAGCCGACCCAACCAATTTACTTCTATGTCAAGGCAAAACTACGACAAATCTTCAGGCATATCAGCAAGACCAACAACTTTAACATGTCCAATAGATAACCAAGTTCACTACGTTGGAAAATGTCCGGACTTTTTGAAACTTCCCGTAGATCAACGGGCAGAGCTGGTGAAGCAACATAAGCTGTGCTTCAACTGCTTAGGCCAACACAGATTTAGTGAATGCACATCGTCTAAGCGATGTTTCATCAACAACTGCGGAGGGAAACACCATTCAACTCTACACATCGACAAAAAACCGTTTCAAACGCACAACCAAAAATCAAATAACATGCAGCTTGGCACTACAGTAACCAAGCCCTCGGAACAAGCTGAGGATCCAATCCAAAATATAAACAACATCAGAAATCAGTTACAATTTATGCCGGTAACACTGTTTAACAATGGCATCAAACTAGATTGCTACGCCATACTCGACAACTGCAGCAGCTGCTCATATATCCTCAGCAAAACAGCTGAAACACTTCAGTGCAAACCAAGCCAACAACTACAGCTTAGCGTACGAGGTGCTTTCAGTAAGGACAAAGTGTCCTCCTCGCTGGTCCGGCTTAGTATCGGACCACATAACGCTACAAAACCTACTTTCACCCTACAATCAGTCTATTCAGTTGAAGCTCTGAGTTTTGACGCTATCGACGCAAACAACCTTAACAAAACGTGCTCACTCTACAATCACCTTCGACCTGTCAACTTTCCTGAACTAGGCGACAACACAGTTCAAATATTGCTTGGCGTAGATGCTTTCTGGAATATAGCGGAGCGCGATATCAGAAAAGGTCCTACAGGCACCCCCTACGCTGTAAAAAACCTACTAGGTTGGACGATCACTGGCCCACTCAACCAGAAATCTAATAGTTCCGGACCAAGTTCACACTCAACTAACTTCATTGACTTAAATGATCAAGAAGACGCTAATCTCACTGAATTAGTGGAAAATTTCTGGAAAGTAGAAGGATCAGGCATCCAGGAAGATAACAAAGCTACATACTCTGATAAAAGCAAACGACAACTAAGATTTATGGAAAAAAGTATTGAGCACGATGGAGATCGCTACAAAATAAATCTGCTCTGGAAAAACGAAATAAAATTGCCAAACAATTATCCGGTAGCTAAAGCTCAACTGCTATCGCTACAAAAACGGCTCAGAAAAGACCCTGAAACCATGCAACTCTATGAGAAATCGCTTACTACCGACCTGGAAAATAACTACGTCAAGCCCGTTACTTTCCAATACCCACAACCTGAATTACTTTGGTACCTCCCACATCACCCTGTAACTAATCCAAACAAGCCCGGAAAGGTACGCAGAGTGGCCAACGCCGCCTCAACGTACAAAGGCGTCTCGCTGAACTCTTGCCTCGAAACTGGACCTGACCTCCTGAACAACATGTTTGGACTTCTACTACGATTCCGGGAAAAACTACGATTTATGCAAATAGGTATTAAAGATGAAGATCAAAATGCGCTTCGCTTCCTTTGGCCTACTAAAAATGGTATCAAACAATACCAATACACGCGACTTATCTTTGGTGCAAAATGCTCACCATCCATTGCAATCTTTGCGCTTCATCAAACAGCTGCCGATTACTGCATAACCAAACCCAGTGTTGCTCAACTGCTTCACAAAAGCTTTTCCATGGACGACTTCGTTCACTCGTTCAACACGACACACGAGGCTAGAGACTCTACTACGCAACTAAAATCCTCCCTAAGACAGGGGGGATTCAACCTAACTAAGTTCGTATCTAACACTAATGACGCGATCTACTCCATCGATGGAGGCGAAGTTTCTACTAATGCTACAGTGCATCGTGTTCTGGGTGTCAAATGGGACACAACTGACGATACGATATTCATGCAACCAACAACCAAGCTAAATAATACTACATCATCTACACTCCGAACAGTTCTCTCTACAGTAGCAAGGGTTTTTGACCCCTTAGGCATCCTAGCGCCGTTTGTCATAAAACTCAAAATTCTTCTGCAAAACTTGTGGAAGTCTGGTATCTCTTGGGACGAAACTGTGCCCAGTGACTTTGTTCCGATAATTGACAAATGGGTTGACCAATGCAAACAAGTACCCCCTGTTAGACTGCCGCGCTTACTTGGTCCACAGCTGTCACCTAGTGATATACAGCTTCATATTTTCTGCGACGCGTCGCAAGACGCAATGGCTACGTGCATCTACTTCCGAACTGCTTGTAGCTCTGGCATACACGCTACTTTCTTGATTGGCAGAACAAAGGTAGCACCACTGAATCAAGAGAGCATTCCTAAACTGGAATTACAAGCCGCCCTTATGGGTGCTCGGCTATGCAAGTTCGCTACTGATGAAATGCGATTAAAGCCCCACTCCAGTCACTTTTGGACGGATAGCACTACTGTTTTGTCCTGGATCGCTTCACCTGGTAAACTGAAAACTTACTGCGCAAACAGAGTTGGTGAAATACTTACTTTATGCAAAGCCGAACAATGGAAACACATACCTGGTAGACTCAACCCAGCAGACAGTGCTACACGAGGAATTGAACTTAAAGACGTAGCAAAGCTCTGGTTGGATGCACCACAATTTCTACTCAACAATGAGCCTATTTGGGGGAGCAACGAAATAATGGAACAAAGTAATGCTACAACGGTTAGCCCCTCAACTACACCCTTATTCGATTCTTCCAGGTTTTCAGATTGGTTTCGATTAGTTCGGGTCACAGCTCGGGTTATAGTTTTTGTCGATACACTTAAGGGAAACGGCAAACGTTCTACCACTATGGAAGACCTAGAAAAAGCTAAGCTCCTCCTTTATCAACAGTCCTTTGGTGACACCTTTGGTGACACCTACAATCAACTACGAACCAAGCAACAAGTTGAAAACAAAGACAAACTGCAACAGCTGTCACCTTTTCTCGACAACGGTGTTATTCGCGCGCGAGGACGACTACGAAACTCACCTTTACCGGACGCAACAAAGTATCCAATAATTCTTAACGCAAAGGACCCAATTGTGCGTATGATGATCGAGAGCGCTCATCGCCGCTGCATGCACCACGGCACTGAGTACATTCGCAACTACCTGCAACAAAGTTTTGTCATTGGGCTCCGAAAAACACTCAGACAGATAAGACATAACTGCTTTCTCTGCAGAAGATTCCAAGGCAAAGGGCTACATCCACTCATGGCCGACTTGCCGCCAACTCGTTTCGACGATCCGTCTGACGACCCATTTCCGTTCAAAAACACAGGAATTGACTATATCGGGCCATTCTACATAGCAACAAAGGATACAACTGAAAAAAGCTATATTTGCCTCTTCACATGCCTCTCTACTCGCGCGGTTCACCTGGAATCGACAGACAACCTTACTACGAACAACTGTATAACGGCAATTAGACGTTTTATTGCTAGGAGAGGCACACCTAAGCTTTTAATCTCTGACAACGCTACTTACTTCGTCGGCGCGCGTAAACAACTACGCTCAGAACCAATCAACTTCAACGAAACCACCCTAACTGAAACGCTACAAATCCACAATGTTGAATGGCGCCTAAATCCTCCGGCTGCCCCCCATTTTGGCGGCATGTGGGAGCGACTCGTCTCATTGATAAAACGAGCATTCTTACTAAATCTCGGTTCTGATCGACTATCAAGAGATCTATTTGCTACTATCGTAGCCGAGACCGAGGCAATCCTCAACTCACGTCCGCTAACTCATGTCAGTAGCGACCTTGACGACGAACTTCCACTGACACCCAACCACTTCTTAATGGGTCGTCCATTCGTCTACGCTCCAGCAGCAGCCTTCTACGAAGCATCTACCAGTAAACTGTCCAACAAGTCCTGGAAGCGAGCAAAAGATAGACTTGACAGCTTCTGGAGGCGTCTACTTAAAGAGTACGCTCCGACTCTCATCAGAAGGACTAAATGGACGCAACCCGAGGAACCACTCGAAAAGGATGACCTCGTGTGGATACTTGAGGACTTTACACCACGAGGCATCTGGCCACTGGGTCGAGTGTTAGAAGTTTTTACCGGCTCGGATGGCATCGCACGATCGTGTAAACTGAAAACAGCCCTAGGTACTTTAACGAGACCAGCGGTGAAACTTGCCCTCGTAACCCCAAAAAAGAAGATTTAAGACCACTTTAATTGTATTACAACAACAACAACAAAAAAACTTGGCTCAACTCCTTCCCCTTCGGTTCCAAATAAGATCTCCCTCCCCCGAGGATATTCATGACATGAATTGTCTCACATGAATTAAAGAAAAATGCGGTAAAATCTTTTAATAATAGCATGATTTGTTCCGAACTAATGAGTAATAAATTTGACTTCAACAAAGTGACATTCAAGATATGTTCATCAAATTGTCTTGAATACCTTTTATGGATTTGCAAAGGATGTAAGTGTTGCATGTTTCCGAGAACTTCTGATTTGAAGCTTCTGTGACATTTTTTTGGAAAAATTGATTTGATGTGAACTTCATTATCATCTCTTGCTGTGTTCATTCTTTGGTTGTTTTTAACTGACAAAAAGGGGACTATGATGTTAATTCTTTCTAGAACTGGTCATTGTCGTAAATCATTTGCTTGATTGATGATTTTTAATTCTTTGAAGTCATTTTTACGAGACTTTCTTTTTTGCAGAATTGATTTGTTAGATATTATAAAAGCATTAGGGTTGTGATTTTGTTTTTACTCATGAATTTGATTCAAAAAGGTATTGTTGTATCCTATTCACACTCGTTCTTTTTTCTGCCCAGCTTTAAAAATAAATGGTCTAAATTTGCTTTTTTTTTTCTTGTTTAAGCAAACGAGCTTCTCGACAATTAACCTGGCAGAACCTGATACAGTTGAAACATTGAAGCGAGTACTTGAATCGCAAATACGAGATACCAAGCAAGAAAACACATTGACAAGAATCTGCATGGCTTATCCAGAAACTGAAGATTGCAATCACCAGGAAATGCTGAAATTTCTCTTCAAATTAAAGTCCCTTGTGAGGAGTTATGAAGCTATTTTGCTGCTGACTGTACCTGTATACTTGGACACTTTTGTTAGAAATTATATCCTTATGATTTCTGATTATTATATCAAGTTTGAACAGTTTCAAGCTACTTCAGTTGAATCTGCAAACGATGCACTTTTGAAAGAATACAATGGATCAGTTGAGTTTAGAAAAGTATGGAACCACGATGGATTCAAGATGCCATATAAACTGATTGATCTCGTGTACAAGTTCAAGAGGAAAAACTTAGTGGTGGAGAAAGGTTGTCTGCTCCCAGATTTATCAGAAACTGCAAGTCGCAATGAACGCAGGCCTGAACTTGCTAGTAAACTTAAAAAACACGCGGACTTGTTTTGAATTTTCTTATACGAAAGTTTCTATTAATTGTAACAAAAAAGTTTTTATTTGTGCAGATTTTTTTTCAGTTTCCACTAAATAACTACTCATTGATTTCGACGAAGATCTGAGAAACATGGCTCTCTTATTTCTGTTAGCGCAGTCGCATCAAATCTGTTCACGGTTGATTTTGAGGACTATATTGGGAGGGTTGTGAAGTATATAATTAAAATCTATTTTAGACTTCCTTCTCTTTCAGCCCGGAAAATGAAGCAGGAAATCCATATAATTTGTTCATTGATAAAGATTAAGGCTTCAAGTCACATCTTATTCACCTTTTAAAAAGAAGGATATAAGATAGCCACGTTTTCAGCCACGTTGAAATGAATTAAATTGGACTTTGAGGTCAAGAGCAAAAAACCAAGTTGGGCTCAAATGATCTAAATTGGATTTTCAGACAAACGCCAAATAATATGTCAGAATGAAATCAAATTATGAAATTTTTAAACTGGTGTGTCTTTCGTGTATCCCTTATGTACCCTTGACTTATAGCCATGGTGGCACGGAGTTTTGTTGAGGACGTAGGGTAGGATACCATCGAGTTGGAGAATCTGTCAAGAAGCCGGCTGAAAATTCGTATCACGGCTTTGGCAAATAGCGATTGCTAGCTCCACTGAGCTTACTTACATTCGGAACGAGTGGTATTGTGCACTTGAATCAGTGTTTGCTCTTAATCGACTGTTAGGAGTTGTTGCTTGTTACGCAGTATCTCTTAAGGGTGTGAGGGAGTGATATTTTAGGGATTCGAAACTTGCTGAAAGAGTCATGTGAATTTTTGTAATGTACGTGTTTCGAGAAGAAATATTTTCTTTTCAAGGCGAGGAATTAGAATAGAATTTTTCCAAGTTTTGTTATCAATTTATAAGTTGAGGTTTTTGTGATTTTTTGATTATTTTTTAGTTGTTGTTTCTACATAATACGCGAAGATTAGAATGAGCTATATACGAAAAGTGTTCATTAGACAATGCTGTTTTGATAAGTTCAGGCTAAATTTCAACTTTAAATGCTTTTTTACGAGTTGGGTTGACATGAAATAGGAAATAGCAAGACAAAAACTGCTTAGATCTTTCAATTTTTGACACAATTTCGACACAATTTTCTGAAATTGATACGATGGATTGTCTCGGAGCCGAAAACCCGGTTAGACAAAATTAAATGTTTCCCGGGTAACCGAAAACTAAATTCGTTCTCGTATAGTAGAAAATTTTAATGTTCACGGATAGCCGAAACCTTTTTTGCTCCCTGGTAGCGAAAAAATTCGATTCGATCTAAACTAACAATCAATTTCAGAAAATGTTCGCTTCATTTAAAGATATGAAAATAGGTTTTTACCCATTATTGCCCCGCCTTCATGTAAATTATAGGCCCTCAAAATTCAAAAATTTTGTGATGAGGAGAGGATAATGCTATAAAAATTAAAAATTATATCGAGATTTTTATTGGATCGACTAAATGTGAGCTCTGAGTTAGGACCGAGTTGGTTAACTCATAGAGTAATTTCGGATAGGGTACACCGTCTGCTCGTCACGCTATCTTATTTTCGGCCGGATAGATTCGTGCAACTTCTTAGTCTAATACCGATCCTAATCTTACTCTTATACTATCTAGTCTCAGGTTGTTTAACTAGTCTCTGCTAGGCTCAATAGATCTAGGGTATACTGGTTTATTGCGGCTGCTGAAGTGCTCGGGAGAGTCCAACTAATTTCTAAGTTAAATTCAAATCTCTCTGGTGCTGAAATTACAAGTAACTTCAGCACTTACAAATAAGTGGGTTGTTAGTTAGATGGATCATGATTGGTTAATATTAAATACTTTACATTGGTAAAATATCTAAATTATCCAATCATAAAATGTAGTTTAGATCAGGTTCCACCCATCCGGGTTTTACAGAGTTTTTTAGAATAGTTCTTCTGCAATTCGAAGGATGGATGATGGAAGTTGGTGTTTGGCGAACATCTTATTTCTTCTGTTTCCTTTTTGTTAAAGAAGTTCCAGGAAGCTGGAGTTAGTGACATAAGACGTTGTGTCTTCTAGTGACAACGACTAAGTCTTTGCAACAAACTCAAATCTGATTTCAGAATGGTTGGCTATGTCAGGTTTTTCTGTTCTGCGTGGAGAACTTCTTTTGTGTCTGATCTAGTTTGGGAATGGCGTGGAGATTGTGCGTGGAGGGGATGCCTGGTTACTCGGATCTGTACGTATACTTGAACATCGAGGTGGTCATTGGTCTAGTTCAATGAAGTCCTTTTCTGCGAAGTCAAGTCGTACTCTAAATCCTTTGAGTTGTGATTGTGAGTGGCATATCGATTGTGGTTGGTCATTCTCTCTCGAGTGTAGTGGGGTCGTTTTGTCTTTGGATGTTCGTCCTTGGTGTTGTATTCTGATCTATGTATTGCATAATGTAATTTACATTTTATAAAACATTTATTAGTTTAATATTTTTTAGTTATGATTTTAGTTAGTTGTTTTCACAAAAGCTTTTTGTTTTAGTTCGGTTATTTTGAAGAGTTACTCACACTTGAGTAGCTCTTATTAAAAATAGAGGTGTGGTCACAAAGCGTGGATGTAGCACGGTGGGTTAGGCCGGCTATAGAGCATGCTCAGGACGTCCTTCCTGGTGGGTTAGGCCAGGAGTGGGAGTATGATTTCATGCGGTTTTTGTGAGGGGTCCTGTTATGTGACAACGTTTTATGTTGGGTTTGTTGTGGTTTTTCTTATGTCTTGTTGGTTATGTCCTTTTTCCAAAAATCAAATTGTTTGTGGTATGGGTTTGTCTTTCGACTTTTTTGTGTTTTATTATTTCTTTCTTAGACTTTATAATAGTCTTCAAAAGAATAAATTATCCAGTTTTAAACTGGGTTAATCCGGTTTGGGTACCGTTGGTTTCCTTTTCTTAGTCATGCTGTTATTCTATGATTTGTGGTATTTAGTGAGCTGCGTTGGTTAGTTTTGTTTAGTATATGATTCCTTTCCAACCGGGTTAAAGGAAGGTTTGAAACATGTTATTATATGTTAGAGTTGTTGAGTGTGAAAACTTGAAACTGAAATTCATTATTTTAAACAATTCTTCGTGGGCGAGCTGTGCGAGTGTGGATAGAATTTCTGTGCGAATGAATGAGAATATCAAAAGGTTAGTACTGCATTTGCATTTTATTAATTTACTGCATAGAATTTGGAAATTTACTGCTAGTTATGGGGGAATTTTAAGTTACAAATTATCATCATAATTAGATTTACTGCTTGTGGGGAAAATTTTAGAAATGAATTTACTGCATTGGTATTAAATTTATAAATTTATAAGTGTAAGAGATTAATAGAATTGTTGAAATCTGTTTGATGAAATTTGCGATCTTTATTTGTTTTTTTGTGGTTTTTGTAGGTGATCGTCGGATGAAGACTAAAAATCTAAAGAAAACATGGATAAAGAATGGTGAGTTTTTAATATTTTAATTAGTTAGTAATATTCATTTAATTCATACTTACCTGTTAGTCGTCGGGGAAAAAACCGTGGGGGAAGATGTCGTGAATTAGTTCTGAAGTTGTTAGTAGTTTAGCTAAGATGCGGATGATATTTTTAGTCTGAAGCAGTGGCCAAAGCAATTGAAGTGCCTTAATAGTGGTTAGTTCTTCAGTGCCAACTGCAAACTCATAAGGTGTGTTTTGGATTAGATTATATAATTTGTGATTGAATTTAGTGTTGTGGATGAATTCTAAAATTGGGATTTCTATGGGTTGTACAAACTCGTGCGGGATAAGGAAGGGTCGGGATTCTTCGGCGTTGAAGGTCTTGGTGATGGGACAGAAGATGTACATTTGGGTTATGGGGTCATAATTACGAAGAATACCATGGAGGTTAGTGTCTTTAATACAATATGTGAAATTTAGGAAAAATGGTGAAGTGTATTTGGAATTAATGAATTGAAAACGATGGTGTGGTTGTCTAGAGGGTGTGTGTAGGTCAAAGTGATTTTGGATGAAGCGATAATAACTATATGTGTGGGTTTGTTTAGTGCGCAACATAATATCGTGTGAGCAGTGTAAATCTCTTTCGTGTGGTGCAAGGAAATGAAAGGTTAGTGAAAATATTTGGAAGCGTTCTTTAAAACTTTCGTATGCTTGTGTGTCTGTTAGTGCTTCTGAAATAATGTGATCAAACTTTCGGTCGAAGATGTTTAGTGTGAATATATATGGTGTCTTGATGAAAAATTTCTCGGTAATTTGTGGATTAGCGAAGCGATCGTCGTCTAAGAATTGATCTTGGTTAGCTCTGATGATGTTGTGATCATAGTATTCGAGTGTATATTCGTTAGCTCTAGGTGCAGTGTGTGTTTTTAGTGATTTTTTATATCCAACGTAAGTAAATTGTCTAGCGGTTAGTGGTGTAGTGAGTCGATATAGCATGTCCGTATTTCGCTCTATATCGATGTGAGTGTTAGATAAAGGTAAGCAAAGAGGATTAGTAAAATGATAATATGAGGTCCAAGAGAGAGTGGGCATTAAAACGTATTCATCTACAAAGTTGCGTGTTTCGTTAGTGTCGTGGGGGGTGTTTAAGGTGTATTGTGGGAATGAGGGTAAGGTGAAGGCTAAAAATTCTTTTGTGTTAGTATGCTTGGGGTGGTTGATGTATTCACGGGCTGTTCCTGGTTTTGCTGGGAAAGGATGGTTGGGGAACTTTCTTTTAAAAGTGCGGTAAGCTCTATTAGTGTTGAGTGAAGATTCAGTTGATGTGGATGATGGTGCTAATGATTCAGTATAATTTGAAGAGGGTGTAGGGGTAGGGGGGTTGGATGAATTTATTGTGGAGGAGATTTGGTTTATGGTTGGGGTATTAAGGTGGTAGGGTTGTTGTTGAAGGGTAATAAAATTATCTAGCTCTGGGGAGATTCGGGGGGTGTCTGGAGAATGAGATGATTGGTCAGAATGGTATGAGGAGTAGGTTGGGGTAACTTGGGAAGCATAAGAGGGTGTGGGAGTGATTGGGTCAGGGTTATTGGATAATATGGGTTGAAAAGGGGGTTGAGAAAAATTAGAAGAGTTATGAAAATTATTGGATGGGGATGGTTCTGAGTCGGCAAATTCATCGGGGGTTTCAATATTCGGGTTATTGAGTTGTGAGATGGAATATAAAACT